TGGCAGCAGCCCGGTGGAAGTTGCCGCAGGCAATAGTGAGCACGTTCATGCAGGGGCCATGACAGTAGGTAGTGCGACACTTGAAGATGTTGCTGAAAACCGTGGTCCGAGTCAGCCACTCATCGCCCGAACGCAACGGCTGCGCCGGCGTAAGAATGACCGTGAACCTAACGAGACGCCAACAGTTTCTGTTAGTGGTGGCACACTACACACGGTACCAGTCTCCAGTAGAGAACAACAGCATGCCGAGGGTCTGGACCAACGAGCGCATACCTCAACGGACTTGGCGCTTCCGGGCAATGGTGAAACAGTAAGCTGTTCGACCTCCCCAGCCACTGTGGCTTTCACAGAGAGCACAACGGACACATCTAGGGCAGAGTCTGCTTTTCCGGTGCTTTTCTGGGTGCTCATCTGAAGCGTGTTGTCGCCCTAGTTGTGGGCGTTAAACGCTGGCCTCTTACGTTCAGCGCTTCGGCTCCTCAGCAGTGCATTTTGTTTGCGCTCTAGGCACTTTGGTGAAAGCCGTTACGGATGGGATGTGTGCACATGTGTTTCCAACTCAGGCAANACTCAGGGAACATCCTTTATACCGACTTCCAACTCTCCTGCCAGGAGTGAACATAGGGCGCTTTGACTGGGAGGCCGCCCTGCAGTCTTCAGCGTTTCCCCGGAAAGTGCCACAAAAGCTGTTGGAAATCCAAAAAATACTCCGCAAACGGGTGCTTTCTCAAGACGACGCCAATAAGCTCAAGAAGTTGGCTTCGGACCTCTTGATGTTTGCAGTCTCCACTAAGGAGAGTCGTCTGGTGAGGGTCTCCTGTGGTGATCTGATAGCACCACTATCATTTCGGTTCCTCGTAGCAGAGGCATTGTGGTGTGCCTGTGAGATATTGGGACCGGCAGCAGAGAAGCACCATTGGTGGGATTCAGCGATGGACCAGCTGACTGCATCGCCATTGTTCCAGGGGTCGTCTGAGTCAGAGAAGTGTGTGAAATCGGAACAGTTTGTGCTCCAGCTTATTGCTGCACTCTCCGTGTACCGGAAAGGCGATCGACCTTCACCACAAGAGGTCATGAGCATCAAGAAGACGATGTTTGGGCCACCGCCGGTGCACTTTTGCTTCACCGCGATGGTATGGGATTGGTGGAGAAGGGACTTGGCTAGCTCTGACCAAAGGAAGTAGTCCTTTGGCGTTTTTCCTGGAAGCTGTTATGCTCCCCGTCTAGTCAGCGAATGCTAGGAGTGGTTGGCATTCAGCAGGAATTCATAGCAACACGCAGGTTAATTTTCCGCGGTGCTTGTGGAGGGTTTTGGCGGAGTGCGCATCCAAAGTGTTGCCCACCGAGTTTCAGGGCGCTGACGGAGCATTAGTGCGCCTGTCGCGATGTTAGCCGGCGGCCACAGCTGCGGACGAAGCGCCTGATATTTTTTTCAAGGACCCCACCGTTTTGGCCTAGTTAAATGGATGCCGACGANTGCGGACGAAGCGCCTGATATTTTTTTCAAGGACCCCACCGTTTTGGCCTAGTTAAATGGATGCCGACGAACGACTAGAAGACAAAAGCATTATGGATGGATGTCGCCGCATAGTGACGCCGCATAATTAGAATTCCGCGATAGAATACCTTCCTTGATATTTATGGTTTTTGCAAGTATTCTGCGTATCGTCGGCAGGCCCAGTTTCGGTGTGTATGCGTATTTTGAAGAGTTCCTTGCCTTCAAGTGGTTTCAAAACCTGAAGTATTCTGAATATCGCCATTATGCTTTTTTTAATTTGGTAGCCGCAGAAGGGCGGCATCAACCTGCGTTTTTCGACAGGCTTGACCCCTATAAGTGTGTCATGCTGCGATTGTTCAGTGCACTAGTATTTTCGGTATCTCCCTGCATTATAGTTAAGGTACACCAGTTACGCTCGGCCGTGCCCGTGCACACTTCTCACGGTGTGTATGTATCTTCCAGGGCTTAGGGCTTAGGTTATGGGGAGATTCATATTGTGCCTGAAACCGAGGCTTGATCGTGCAAATTTCGTGCAGCGCAGCGTTTTGAGTCTAGAGTTTAGGGTTTATGGTATAGGGTTAGCATTTAGGGTCTAGGGTTTTAGGGTTTAGCGCTCCAGGGTTTACGGTTTAAGCGATTCAAGAGACTGAATGTCAGACCAAGCAATTCCCTGTGAATTGACTATTTAAAGGCCTTGTATAGACTGAAGTTTGCATTACCTTAGTCCGTTTACAGCGGATACCAACCTCCGCATCCTGAGGAACCATGGGCCCAGAACCCCATATTCGGTCATTCCCGTGACGCCCCCTCCTGTGTACTGTAGTTTGAAGTCTAGGAGGACATTCTGGGCTGCATGACGCCCAATGTGTCAAAGTTTTGGCCGCAGATGCCGATGAATGTCAATCCGGCGGAAACATGGAGTTCAGTCATCAAGACCACCGCTGTGCCCGGCAGAGAAAATGCAGGGCTTAGCGTTCCCGTGGCCATTTTCCTCCACATTTCCCCCATATTATTCTTTTTATTCACGAATTTCAACAAACTAAAACCGATGGTTTAGCTTTTAGCTGTGACAGCTTAAGATTCTGGGTTTGTGCAGCGAATGCGGCATGCAAACCACTGGCACGCACGGTCTGGCTNGTGACAGCTTAAGATTCTGGGTTTGTGCAGCGAATGCGGCATGCAAACCACTGGCACGCACGGTCTGGCTGCGAGCGACCGGAGATGTCTTTCCCGACGGGGCCATGTATTTCACGTATTAAAATTTAGATGCATTTTATTAATACCTTGGCATAGTCGAATATACCTCTTATTTATGGCTCTTAGAGACCGTATATAGGACGATATTCATTCGTTTTGGCGCCGAACGGTCATATTCTCCTTTGTCTTCACTACTGCTGTTTTTTTGCACGGACAGTTTTCCCCTAGAGCTCCTCTTGAAAGTTCTCTTGTTCTGATTTTTACCTCCCAGCTGCATATACACTGCCGCAGGGTGATCCCTTGACCACCGTATATCGCGCGAGCCGCTGCGAAACTGATATTAGAAATCGACAACTGCTTCCGAGTGGTTCTCCTGCAAGCGTGAACGTCGGCGTTTTCGCGCAAATGACAAGGAGTGAACCTGTCAAGAACGGGGAATTATCCCGTAGTTCTTTGGGTTGCCCGGTGGCTGCTTT